AGGTGGAATTTCGTGTCGGGGTGATGTAAGTCAAATTAGGTTTTGCCCTTCAATGACGTTTAAACACTGTATACTGAGTGTTACCTCCCGAGTGAAAGTTGCAAAAAATCACTCAGGTGGGACTCAAACCCACGACCTCCTGCTTTCTAGTGCAGATGTCCTACTAATCGACCACCAAGCTAACAGGGGTCAGTTGGCTGGTTCGAATCACATGTACATATCAGTGGGTACTGCATGAACTGTTCATAAGATGGAATTTTGTGTGTAGGTGAAGTAAATCAAATTAGGTTTTGCCTTTTACCGACGTAGGCTTTTTGGAGTCTTTTCTTGAAGACAGAAAAGACAACAGGATCTATTTTTTTATTGTATTTTTCAAATTACTGATGATATTTATTTTTTCTTGCTGATGAAAACTTCAGGGTCGGGCCAAAAATGAAAGGGTACGTAAACCGGAAGCTGAACTATTTTTTGTTTGGCCTTACTCACAAGGTGCAACCTCAAAATAGGGGCGGGGGTATAAACAGATAATTGTTTGAGATACTCTGAAATACCCGCATGGTGAAAAAGATGTCATACGTTAATGTTATGGTGCTCTGACAACAGAGCATGCTTTAACCTTCTTTCAACATAAGCACTCTTTCAAACAAACGGATTGAATACAAACCATCAGTGCTATCGTCCAGAGAGTTGCCAGATGTATTACCCCCAACACTCTTCAGAAGATGTCCTGTCGATGTCTGGAGCATCTTCAGCATCTTCTGCATCCATGTCCTCTGCGTCTAAACAAATATAAAGTATCAAAAATAAGTTCAAATAAAATAATCTTAGAAGACATAGTGCAGGCCAAAAATATATAGAGTGTCTCTAACTAGAGTTATCTTCAAGTAAACTTGAATCCTCGATCCTCATTGGTCGATCCGTGGCAACAGTGTGATATGAGGCTGTATTGCACGGTCCATATCGCACCCTGCATATATTGCGCTATTCCAAGATGCGAGTGACATTCCAGCTGCATGCGCTAAACCGCTAAAAGGTCCGTGTAAAGCGATGGTCTAATGTTACTTCGTGTCAAGTTTGCTTAAAGATAAATTTGTTATCATGCTTGCGCTCGTGGAACACGGAAAATGTAGTGCGTCTGTGTTCCACATACCACTCGGCCTTCGGCCTCACACAGACGACTACTTATTCCGTGTTCCACTCGCGCTCGCAGGATAACTTATATTATTGGAACTCGTTCCCACTGAACAAAAATGGAGGTTAAAACTGCTTTCAACAATTTTCTGAGAGATTGTCTTTTGTTAGAAAGCCAATTTCTTTTTTTAACAACCACCAAATTTTGAAATTATTAGTATGGGTATTCCTTCTTTTGTGCCAGGCAGAAGGGCATGAGCGTATTCGCCCTTGTGAAATAGCAAGTAATCACCAAAATGTTCCTAGCAAAAGGGCATATACAGAAAACTGCCTCGATTTTAATGAAACTTACACATTTTCTTCAGAAATTAATACAATTTGTTCCCAATCTTATGATTCAGACGTGTGACCAAATCGAAAATCGCACTCCTTTTTTAGCATTCATAATCTGCGTGGGGTAACATAAATTAAACCTTTCAATGCAATTTTCTTAAAAACGATTTTTGCATCAAAACGCTTCTTCTGATTTATCAACCAGGTAACCACCTCATAAATAAGCCAACAATACTAAAGAACTGTACCTGAAGGAGGAACGATGTAGATGATATCACCACTGATCATGGTCAAGGCCAAATCATCGTCTATGTCGGTTCCATCCCCTAACTGTAGGGTGCAACCTGGTGGAAGGTTGAGCTTGAGAGTAGCTGTTTAAAGTGGGAGAAACATTTTGTAAAATATTGTCGATCTAGTCTTCTCATAATTGGTTTCATGTGCAATATATGGTATGTTCCTATTTTAGTTGATGAAATGATGAATTGCATTTTTATATAAAGGTCACCTCAGTCCAATAGTTTTCCACCCATTTTGGAACGCCAAGTGGGAAGGTTGGATCACTTGCAATTTTTATGCTTTTTTAATGCGTGCATTTCAACATTCATGGTAACAGTTTATTTGTTTTGTATTAGTAATGCTAATTACTAATAAATGTTTTCCAAGAAGGTAATTTTACACAGTTCATTGATTACAAGATGATCAAAACACTTTTTGAGGTCTAATTTCACACAACAATTTTAGTGTTTTGAACAGTTTTCCATGGTCTGTGTCAATTTTTTTTCAAAGTCACTTACAGAACTAGCTGGTGAGGCAAGGATTAGAGAAATTGAAAGTATATAAAAACAAAGCCATCAACAAAATTGACAGCCATTAATACATGCTAACAAAAGCACATTTTTTTCGGGGGGGGGGGGGGGAAGAGACATGGTTTATCAAAATGGGCAAAAAAAGATTGAAAATATATAGGGGCTATCAGAAGTATTCTAGCTGTAGCAATATAGAAATGAATTTCTGTGTCAGTAAACGAGTCGTCATTAATTTCTACACTAGCTTACCATTTTCTTGGAGATCTTGCAAGTTCATTCCCGACACCATTTTTTTTTGGATCCATCACGTGTCCATACTTTGTAGACGGTAGCCACTGATGAAGAACAGGAAAATCAGTCAAAAAATGCAGTCTTTGGGACTAAGAACTTGTATCCAAATGTGTGATGTATTTTCATTGGGAATGCATGGGGTGAAGCATCTGCATGTACACACACCAACCTATTGTCGGTCTCATCAGATTCAGTAAGCCTCAACAAACCCAGTGACATGTCTCTTCGGAACACTTTTGGTCTGGCAACAAAATACACGGAAGGCTCACAGACTAGCATGCACTGCAATTCACCCATTTGCACTGTTTGCCCATCTAACACAGATAAGGCAATGATGTCTCCCTTTCTGAAGTTAGTTCCCTTATACTTCACTTCATGTGTCAACAGCACTGTACCCAGTGGGCACACGACTTCTTTGAGACGTCTTTTTGACGTAAAATATTGACGTCTTATTTTGGTCGTAATTTGGGCGTAAATGCAAAACCAAAAGACGTCTTTTTCTGACGCCAAAAAGACGTCGCTCTCTGACTACAAAACGACGTCTTATTCCGACGACTAAACGACGTCTTATTCCGACGACTAAACGACGTCTTTTTTTGACTACCAAACTACGTCTTTTTTTGACTACCATACGACGTCTTATTCTGACGACTAAACGACGTCTTTTTTTACTACCAAACGACGTCTTTTTTTACTACAATACGACGTCTTATTCCGACGACTAAACGACGTCTTATTCCGACGACTAAACGACGTCTTTTTTTCGACGAATAAACGACGTCTTATTATAGTTGTCGGGAAAATACGTATTTACGTCGTAGGGAAAAGATATAAAATAAAGAAAATATAAGATGTCAGTGACGCATATAATAAATTCCACACCATTTCTTTTTATTCATCCAAACATCCACTGCCACATTAATGGTTGAGTTTTACGATTCACTCTCGTTAACGAACTCGGATGACCCATGGTGGGTATTCCTCAACAGGTTTTTATTTACAAGTTCCTATTTTATCATATTCAAAACTTATAAATGCCTAGCTGGGGTCAATATTTGATAGAGATATTTAGGTACAAACTTTGTTCAAGTACACATACGTTTTGGCCAATAGCCTGATATTAAAGCAAGGTTTTTTTGTGCAAATTGTGTGCTTGAGCAGCTCCGTGAAATTTGCCCTACTGATAAGCACACGTGCAATGTTTGTTTTATTGGTTTACACATTGAAGAAATGTCATACAAGTAAGTTGATGTACATTGTATTTTGTAGAATTTCATATCAATATAATAAAAGTCTGGTCCACCCATAGGCCTGTTCCCGAGATAATATTTATTCAACAAATACATAAACTTTCTGAAGTGTTTTTAAATGTTTTTGAATGTTGTATTTAACATTATGCGAAATTTAAAAAAAAATCATGTTTAGCGTTCCCGCCCGCTTCCTTTTTTGGAGGCCTCCTCCTTTTTTGGACAAAAAAAAATAAATAAAAAATAAAAGATTGTACTCTGTAGCATCACTGTGATTATGCTGTGGACATTGTCGATTTGTACGTTTGGCTGCAAAGGAGTCTATCAGAAAAAGCCCTGTTGGTCGTTTGGAAAAATGTGCGGCCATATTGGAGGGGAAAAAAGGGCCTCCTCCTTTCTTTAAGTTTTTAAAAAGGCAAAACGCTAAACATGTTTTTTTTGTTTGACCTTAAGCACATACATGTATATTTACTCTCTCTGGCGGCAGTGCTACGTTTATTAAACCATGGAGGAATAAAAAGAGTCTTCTTCAAAATACAAAGACACATGCTACCTAGAATGTCGAGCTATCCATACATTTAAAGGCACAGTCCATCATTCTTCTTCAAAATACAAAGAAACATGCTACCTAGAATGTCGAGCTATCCATACATTTAAAGGTACAGTCCATCATTCTTCTTCAAAATACAAAGATACATGCTACCTAGAATGTCGAGCTATCCATACATTTAAAGGTACAGTCCATTATTTGTAGCAATCCAAAAAGTAACTGATGTCATTATTGTTGAAAAGCATACTTGGTTTATAAAGATAGTAATGGGCCTTAACTCCCTGTGAAATTATTCTTTCTAGCTAGCTGTTATTTTGAAGAAATCAATAAAAGAAGGCCTTAATTAATTTTTTTGTATTCGGCGAAGCATGCACAAGTGTTGACACGACGCATACACGCACATGGTTTCTATAATTCGTCGGCTCAGTGCGCGACATCGCGTAGCTGCAATCGGCTTACAGTGAGAAGAACATATGCTTTGGATTTCAGGCCCAATTCAAAGCATGAATTTGGCCTGAATTCGAGATCCTAGTATATTGTTCTCTCAGAATATACGGCATTTAAACACCCTTCTTTAGATTTTGAACCCTTTTGTTGCTTCAAACGAACACAATGCACAAATGATGGACTGTACCGTTAAAAGAGTGTCAATTAATATGCTTAAGTTTGCAAGAGTCGTTTGCCTAAGATTTTCAAGCTGACGTACCTTGATAAAGTTCTATTAATTATAAAAGTATCTAATGATTACTTTCTCGCCGCTGATAGGCGTACTTGAGGTATTTCGCAATCCTCTCTTTTACCGCCGAGACTGTGGTGTGGTGAGATGCAACAACACTTTCTGCAAATATACAACATATGCACACAAGTATAAACAAATACATCAATATATATTAAGCTATTCATTCTAACATTTTGTTGGGACTGTGCTTGATATATTTCAGATGGCAAAGTAACCATTATTGTTTACACTGCAGACGGCTTAACCCTAGGATTATTTTGACCATCTCTCAGCCGGGGGGGGGGGGGGGGGGGGGGGCAGCGGCGGATTCCACCCCCCCCCCTAAAATCTTGGCCATCGAGTGACGAACATTTTTAAAACTCGGTACATGCATAGAGCAACTCTTTATTAACATACCGAAGAAATTTCATGACCAAAGGTCAAAGGGTTTTGGAATTATGGCTAATTAAATATTCATATGTATGAATGACAATTCTGGTCTGTGTACACGACGTATATGGGAAAATTCAGTTCTCATGACACCTAGCGCCGGAAAATTTTTCGCTGCGCAATAACCCCTCGTCTGATTTTCATGTTTTTGTTGTCAAAAGATGCGCAAGGCTCGAGGCTAAAAAGTCATTAAAGCTTGGGTCGCGAATTTTTTTATTAAAAAGTTATTGCGGAAAGTCAAGGGGGGGGGGGGGAAAGATGGCCCTTTTAGGGTTAAAACAGCCGTGAAATAAGTTTTCTTAATCAAATCATCAAATTTTCGGTCTGTTATTGATGCGCTGTTCCATCAATAACACATGATCATGTATGTGGCACATGTACATTCTGGTTCTGTGCACATTGCCATGTACATGTATGTTCCATCTTGTTACATGACGTCAATTTTGCTTAAAAATAAATTTGTTGGCCCGCTTAAAAGCTTGTGGAACACAGGAATTGTAGTGTCGCCCACATAAACACGCACCAAATTATTTCGTGTTCCACTCGGGCTCATGGAATTCCTAATACATGTACTATGACACATTCATAACTTGTCAAATACAGTTGTGTACCTTCAATTACTGCACATAAGGCTGTTCTGCCAAACGCCAGCTTCTGCTTGTTCAGGCCTTTCATGTTGAATTCTTTTTGAAGGGTAGGAGTCATCATCCTGTTAATATATAAATGTTTGATAAAGAAAGTAAATACATATGTCATTAATAAAGGAGAGACATCTCCACCTGTTCAGTAAATTAGCAAAATATATATAAATACATACATACCTTTTCACTACATTCCGCACCATATCCCGTGCATCCGTTCCTCCTATTCGTCTGCAGTAGGCAACCTTAAAAACAAATGCATTCAAAAAATTACTTGATACCACCTTCACTGACCATGGCAATAACAATTTCTACCCCCTTTATATGTACCACCAATCTCACGTATATTGCCATGACATTGTGGAGCATCACATTATGTTTATACATGCTTGTTTATGTTGTAAATCAACTCTTACACTAGGCCAGTGTACGAACAATACATATGCATACGCAGCGAATGGAAAACCCAGCGCTCCGCTTAACACGAAATGCAGATTTACAAATCTTTCTTGTTATGTACAGGGTGAGTAAAAAACTGAAACCCAAATGTTGGGACCATTAATTGTTTGCGTTTCAAAATGTAGGATATGAAAGCCCAATTCATAACTTTTCTTTTGGTACGAATCATTGATCACTCATGCACTGTTCAATTTATGGAATTTTAAACACAACCACCGTTTTAAAGTTCTGTCCACGTATCACAAAAAGGTAAGTGTTCTTTTAACAAAACGAGAAAAAAAACCGCACAGGGATGTGGGTGAACTGTTTTCGCTTTGCTGAAAAAAACAACACCACCTTTTTTGTGATCCATGGACAGAACATCAAAACGGTGGTTAATGTTAAAAATTCTGCATTTTGAAAAGTACATGAGTGATTGGAATGATTCCTGTATTGAAAGAAAGCTTATGAATTGGGCTTTCATGATGATTTCCTATGATCATCCTATATTTCGAAATTCACTAAAACAATAGACCCGACATTTAGGTTGTGGGTTTTTTTACTCACCCTGTACAATGTAAGAATTTGTATAAAGGGGTTTGATCCTGGATTCCTACCAAACTTGCACGGTGCTGCGCGTCTAGCAGTTTCTCCTCCAGGGCCATGAACTCATCTCTGGTGTTTAAAGGTTCCTTGAGGATGCTTTCCTGGCTTCCACCGATTGAAGTACTTCCTTGACTTTGGTACAACAACTGGCTCATCATTTCCTTCATCTCAACAAGCTGATGTAAAACTCTTTTCTGAAATCCTTTAGATGAACAGATGAACAAACATGTTTTAGTTGAGTACATTTTCATGAGCACGAGTGCAGTACGAGTATAAACAAAATGGGTCGAATTTCAGGTAAAAATCTACTAGACAGCTGGGCTAGTAAAAACACAACCGACCACGTAGGCCTACGTCCATACATGTAACACTATTTTTTAATCAATGAATGTGCTGTTTTGATTTTTTTTTCCCCTTTACCGATCCTATCCTATTGAGGGAGGGGTTGGAAACGCTGATTTGAAACTCGTTTCCTCAACATGCCCATTCCAGAAAGTATAGGGCCTTTCCAGTTCACCAGATTTTGAGGGAAAAAAAATGGAATTGAGTGATAGTATTTCACCCAGTGTATGGGTGTACAAAAAAATCACTAGCCCACCAGACTACATACATGTACTTTGGTCAGGAGTTCACAACCGAAGCTCAAATCACCATGATCACTGGACTCAGTCCAGTGGATATTTTGATCACTGTACATTTTCATAAGTATGAGAACAGATGTGCTCTAGTATGAGTCCGAGTATGAGTACTATAACAGTTAGTTAACACTTTCTTATAACAGCATTGCAAGAGGGAATTTTCTTGTATAAAATCAAATCGGTATTGTGAAAAATTAAAAAAAAATATTTTCAGTCACACAACGAATATTTTGCAAAACCTACTTGCATCAGACAAAGGGAAAGCTCCATGTGTACTGCTCATAGAACTTGACATGCTGGCCACTGACGTTCTGCCAGATGTTGAGGAAGTCCCCGGCTTCGACGCACTGCTCGACCTGGACGGCGCACTACTCAACTTTGCCCCACTCCCCGATGACTTCGCACTGCTACAGGTAGACTATACCCCACTCCCCGATGACTTCGCACTGCTACAGGTAGACTTTGCCCCACTCCCCGATGACTTCGCACTGCTACAGGTAGACTTTGCCCCACTCCCCGATGACTTCGCACTGCTACAGGTAGACTTTGCCCCACTCCCCGATGACTTCGCACTGCTACAGCTAGACTTTGCCACACTCCCCGATGACTTCGCACTGCTACAAGTAGACTTTGCCACACTCCCCGATGACTTCGCACTGCTACAGATAGACTTTGCCATACTGCCCAATGATTTCGCACTGCTACCGGTAGACTTAGCACCACTCCCCGATGACTTCGCACTGCTACAGGTAGACTTTGCCATACTCCCCAATGATTTCGCACTGCTACCGGTCGACTTTGCCCCACTCCCCGATGACTTCGCACTTGCACTGCTAGACTTTGCAGTACTCCCCGATGACTTCGCACTGTTACCGGGAGACTTTGCCACACTCCCCGATGACTTCGCACTGCTACAGGTAGACTTTGCCACATTCCGCGATGACTTCATGGCACAGCTTAAGTCTGCTACATTCCATGAGTGTACTGTAAGCCTTGATTTCGCCACAATCCCTGATGACTTCAGGGCACTACTCATTTTCTCCACATTCCCTGACGACTTTCTTGCACTGCTTGACTTCGCAACACTGCCACACTCCATGGCACTGCTCAACTTTACCACAGGGTCTGATGAGATGGATAAGGGAGATCCAGGTTCTGACAAGTCGGATAAGGGAGATCCAGGGTCTGACAAGTCGGATAAGGAAGATGCAGGGACTAAGGAGTCGGATAAGGGAGATCCAGGGTCTGACGAGTCAGGAATGGGTGATGCAGGGTCTGAGACAGATCCAGGTTCTGAGTCGGCGAGTCGTGGAGATCCAGGCTCTGAGTCGTCAGGTACAGGAGATGTTGGTTGCAGTTTAAATTTTTTGGGCTCAAATGGTAAGACACAAACTGAGGGGAAATATAAATAACAAGCAATTGTAACACTTTAAATTCAAAGGAGACACAATCAGTAACATATATCATCGAGATAGGAAGGGATCGAAGGGATTGAAGGAATCGGAATTCTTAAATAATGTATGCACTGCTCTGAGAGTGCACATTTTGACACAACCTCGTTTCCATGGGTACGATCTTGCTGTGCCATGTTGGTTCCCATCACGCCTTGTGCAAGTCATAACCCCTGGCATAGTATAATTTAAACGTCCCACAAATTAGGACAAATAAAGTAGGACTGCAGTTGATGCATACATTTTTTTTTTAGAACTTATGCTTGCAAATATGAGAAGTCCCAATTAAGAATCAGTTGATTTAAATTTGATTGAAATGACCCTCAATCAATTTATTTTGTCGAAAAAGAAGATAAAAAAGTGCTTTAAAGCAGTGATTTAAAAAACAAAATACCTTTGATTTATATCGCAATTTAAATCACTTATAATTTAAATCAGCCAACCCTGGTTTTAACCTCTTGTATTTTTATTGGCAAGTGTAAAAAACGAAAACAAAAGCGAACTCAGAAAAAAATTGCATGTGCGCATTCACTTCGTGAGACAGCTTATCTTCCTATGCAGCTGGAGGTCTGTAAGGTATTTATTGTAAGGTGCAAATGCATACATACATGCAAACTGTATTCACTGTAGGAGGGTTAATCATGTTAATATGCCATGCTTAAGCCTAACAATGCTAAAGCCAACAAGATCCAACAGTGGTACAAAGCCATTGGATCGAGTCATCAACAGAGGACAAAAGATATTTTTGCCAGTTGTTGGATCGTTTTGGATTCAGCAGAGTGCCTAAAGAATACTGGTAGGGGATTAGGAGTAATTAATGGTTATTACCTGGTGCAGAGTCTCCATTCTCCACTTCTCCCTCAATTTCATTTCCACCTCCTTCCTCATGGTCATCACATTGAAGCATATCTGAAAACAATTACAGTATGTATTTTATTGGTTGGTAACGTATTAAAAAATCATATGATTTTAAATTAATACATCCTATCAAAGATCCCACACATACTGTGTCTGCTTGTCTGATGTCTGTAGGTCAAGTTTTTTTGTTTGTAAAAGACCGATAAGGAGTGTGCAAGCAAAAGATGCAAGCCTGGAGAGGTACAAATGTATACCATAAATGCAGTTCCTATGCTTCTATTTCACTGTCCTCTAAAGTCATGGTTGCCCCAATACATAATAATTCTGCTTCCTATTAGACGCCTTTCCAAAAAAAAGGTAGGTAGATCAAAAAAAAAAAATTCTTTCTTTTTTTGTCCAAGTTTTTTTTTTATCTTGCCTTTAATTAATGTCAAAAATTTGTACGGACAATAATTCTTAAAAATAATGGACAATTTAGGTCGTGCACACCAGGAAATATTGGGGAAACATGCTGCGCTCAAGTAGGTCCTTTAATCGCGTGTCAACATGCCAATTGCGGTCAAATTATGACTCCAGCTACAGTAACAGCTGCTGCGCAAAGTGCATCATCCTGCAAATACTGAGAAATTACGTCAGCGAAATAAATGTTTCTATGTTTACCTGTTTCAAAGTCATCTCCAAATGTTTTCCTTTTCTTCGGGCGTTTTTTGGAGACTTCTTCATCACTGACATCAGCTGTTGTTGTGTCATCATAGTCTTCACATGTTTTGGGGTCATCTTTGCAAGGACAGCAGAAACATTGATTTGACCATTAATTATTAAATATTCTAAAACAGGTTGGCAAACATGTATTCAAGATCACTGTCTGTTTAAAAGCCTGCTTCAGGATAAATTTTAGCTACAATTGTCAACTACTTTTCTTTGAGAAATATATTGCCAACGTAACCACAAATTTTTCAAAAGGCGACATCAAATTTGCACTGTCAATATTTAAGATTGACCTTGTTTGTGTCTTATTTGATTTCACTCCTTTTACACTGTAATTCAATAAAATACTGCACAACTACACAATCAGGGATATGTCATGTGAAGGATTCACTCAATTGAACAGGACACCAAAGTTAACACAAGTTTTTGACGAAAGTAAAGATTTTGCCATTATAGCCCCAATATTATAAATGGAGGCAAAAAATTCAATCTATTGCCGTCATGTATGGACTGACCAACTTGCATTAGGTATGTAAGCAAACCAAACAAGGCTATTCAAATAATATTGTAGTATTGGTAATAGCAAAATATGCATACCTGCTGAAAGCTTCAGTTTAACAAGAGGAAATTGTCTCCAGTTCTCACAGGGCTCTTGACGTGATTCGAACGCTTTGAGAGCATTTGAACCTGGTGGCCAAAATACTGTCTGGTCCCTCATCCAGGTTGTTGGAATGGTGCCTTCTTCCTCTCTATTTCCTTCTGTCCACACTGCTCTAGCATACATCCTAGAAATTAAAAAAAATGTCTTTGGATAAGTGATCAACAACAGTACACCCAAGGCAGGAGTCTAAGGTCTATATAAGCCCCCCCCCCCCCCCCCCCCCCGCTTACAATAGTATCCATATTTTGCAAACATGAAATAAATCCTACTGAATTTTTACCCCCAAAACGCACTGCAAAATTAAGTAAGTGAATAGCAATTGCTTGCAAGGGTAAAATTTATATCATTTTCCAACAACTGTCAACCGACAATCATTGGAAATAGTCTAGTTCCCCGACATGATAATTTCCAGCCATCTCTAAATTGCTCTGATTTCTCTTAAGTGTGGTCAGGGAACCAGACTACTAGGGCATAATTGTTTTGATCTCTGTTTTGCCAGCATTCGTGCACATGAAACTTTACTAAGTGTTACTAATGCTAACACGGTTTAAACTAATAACCCCCAAATACATTTAAAAAATATAACACCAAAAGCAATTGTGTAAAAATGGTACAGAGAAATATGTCAAAGATAAGCATTTGGGCATTTTGTTTTTAAACTTTCTATTAATACAATGCTGGACATTGCCTTCTTGTGACATGGAGAAAGTCACAACAAAATGTACATATGCATTGTTTTCCCCGAGCAACGCTTGTGTACTGTGTAGGAAAGTAGTAATATACAATGTATGTATAGGGATTCGGGACCAGCTCATTTGCACTAAGGTTGTTTTTGTCTCTAAAGTTTATGTGCACATACAAACTTTAGAGGAAAAACAACCTATGCAAATGAGCTGGTCCCGAACCCCTACATATATTACTACTAGGAATAAAGCTGCTGAAATAAATATTAACCTTTTTTGTGGAATTAATACGATGCAATGTACTACTGTCGTTCTTCTCCATGCAGCATTGGCAACAACACAAAGCCATTACTGTGTGTCAGACATATGCTCTTGCGGTACAATTCATTTTCATGAAGAATCCTTCTCCTACAATTGCCAATGTTATCATCCGTGATAAAAGCAATGTTCAATAGCATTGACTGACAGGGACGGGTGAACAAATTTTCCAGGTGGCGTTTCCTTGTGATGTCACAAACACAATAACCATCATCTCGTTTCTCTTTAACAAATGCAAACTGCTCTGTTCTCAGTAAAAAACAACTATCCTTCCTCTTGACGGAAATATACTTAAAGTTTCCATGAACCATTACAACTGCCCCAGCTTCCTCCGATTCAGTCATCCGTTTTGTGGCCTGTGCAATAGGATTGTGCGCATTTCTAACAAGCTTCTTGACAAAGTTCAATTTACTTTCGAATGGAAATGCAGACAGTTCATTCAGGGAGCATTGGAAATGTTCCACATCATCACATAAGTGAGTTAGATTGTGCACATTATAAACATTGAATGTGGGTCCATAGATATTTTGACAATTTCCAACGAAGTACTCCAGCAATTGTCGAGAATAAGGGAGATATTCATTTCGTTTGTCATCGTGATTATCCAGGATAAAAGACATTGCAACACTAAGTGTCAGAAAATGCTCATACAAATTTTCATCCACGATTCCTTTTAATACGACAGGTCCCGTATACAAAAGGAATTGGCGGAATTCCGTTGCCTTCCATTTTTCCAAAATGTCCAATGTGCGGGGCTGTCTCGCAAACTCCGAGGGCAGCTGTCCGTTTAGCAGCTTTAAGTTGTCGGATATTCTATTTTGAAGCTGTATTGACAGTTTGCATACTCTTGGTCCCTTTTTCAGGTAAACAAGGATCCTTCGAACAACTCCAAGACAAACGAGGTGCATGTAATCCAGCACAAAAGACGTTACACATGGAAATCCAAACTCAATCAAAGGTGTACGCTCAAGCTGGTGATCTGGTGAATATGCCATTTCAAGAAACTGCTCATCAGTCCTTGGAGTAATTTCTTCAACTGTGTTATAGACAACCCTTCCATCATATCCTCCTCTCACTGTACATCTTTCACAGGCATGGTAACCAGAATGTCCTTTGGTACATTTTAAAAATGACCTTGCAGGGGCGTCACATATAAAAGCCATGATGTGCACATTAAGCTTTTTGTCATCATAGGTAATGCCTTCTTCAACAAGTCGGGAATACTCCTCAATAAAATCTTCCAAGAAATGTTCCAACGGCTCAGGCTTGGATTTACCACGAAAGAGTGCAACAACACCTGGAAGAAAATTGTCAAATGAAACAAGTATGGGCCAGAACTGATCATTTGTTGATTTATATAAAGGTGTTCCATCGACGTTGATCTTCAGCGATATTGAGTTATTTTCCTCGACAAAGTTCTCATGCTTCACCAAAATTTTAACGATGCATTTTTCCAGTCCATAATAGGCATATTCTCCTCCACATTTCTCAGAATCAACCACAGATCTTGGTGTCTTGAGGAGAGTGCGCGCATCCTTCGGAAGCTCATGTCCTTCGTGCCTCAAGATTGCAAGAAGTTCATTTACACATGCACGTGTGAGCTTATTTTCAGTGGCCCACTTTCGAAGTTTGTCGTCCAAGTCTGGTTTATCGTTTGTATCTAGTTCAATATCAGACCCTCCTGATGAGTCATCATCTTCCAAGTTAGAGTTGAAATCAGATTCGAGAATGGCTGAGGAATTAGATGGACAATGACCACTTTCTATATCAGAACTGTCAGTGTGTGCTGAGGTTGGCGAGGCAACAACACAACCTAGGTGCTCATCTTGTCCACTGGAGGAATAGTGTGTTCTTTCAAGTACTTGGTTGTCCTCATCACTACTACTACCGTGGGCAGCTAGAGCATGAACCTCAGTCCGACATCTGCGCCAGGTCTTGTGATATGCCATTATCCATCAGAATTACCTACAATGTACATGTACATTGGATATATTATATATTGTGAATATCACGCTTCATTGGTATTCATGATTCCTATAGAAGGCATGCACGACAGCCGTTTTCTGGAGTTTGCCACCAAAATCATCCACAACTTCAAATTTCATGCCACATAAAAAAACAAATTTTTTTTAGTGTCCCCGTCCCCTTCCTTTTGGAGGCTACCCTTTATTTTTTTGAATCTTTTTAACGGAAAAATGATAAATTTTAAGGAAAGATTTTCATATACGAAGTTCACTAATTTTCCTCTGTATTGACTAAGCCAGATAGCAATTTCATGTCATCAAAGTCAATTTGTGCAGTGAGAAAATACAAGCATTTTCTTAGAAAACTTTTTGAGAATTTTTCAGTCCAATCTCATAGGGTTTGTACACAGGGTGTTGAGTGAACTTTGTATATGGAAATCTTTCGGACGGCCATTTAAAAAAAAGCTGGCGGCCATCTTGAAAAATAGCCCACTCGAGAGGCCATTTGGGAGAACAAAAAAAAAGGGCCTCCTTCCTTTTTTCAAAAAAGGCAGTACACTAAATATTTTTTTTGTTGCATTAATTAGTCTTTCTTTATGTGTTTGAAGTTGATCATTACATGTACTGCTTCATGACTGCCGCATGGCCATGATGGCATGAGGTTTTAATTTAGGTTGGGATGATAGAGGGAAAATGGGGGGTCAGACAACTCGACCGGTTGGCCGGTACGGTGAGACAAGTCGACCGTTGAGACAATTTTGTATTTACACTGGGGATACATATACATACATGTACGGTCAGGTTTGGAAAACCCGACGCTACTCTCGAAAAAAAAAAAAAAGACATTTGTTTTGCTTATACCTGTACCTCAGAGAGTATAATTACCGTCATGTGAGAAGTCGGAAAGATTTCCAACTCAACTCAACACCCTGTGTACAAACCCTTTGAGAGTGGACTGAACAATTCTAAGTGTTTTCTAAAAAAAATGCTTGTATTTACTCACTGCTCTATGAAGCCCGGGAAGGGACAGGGTGGAATTTTTTTTTTTGGAGTTTGCTAATTCGTTCGCACGAATTACTAATTCGTTCGCACGAATTACTAATTCGTTCGCACGAATTACTAATTCGTTCACACGAATTAGTAATTCGTTTGAAGAATTACTAGCTAGGCCTAATTCGTTCCCACGAATTACTAATTCGTGCGCACGAATTACTAATTTGTTCCCACGAATTGCTAATTCGTTCGCACAAATAAGTTATTCGTGCGAACGAATTAGGAATTTGTGCGAACGAAATAGCAATTCGTGCGAACGAAATAGGAATTCGTGCGAACGAATTAGCAATTCGTGCGAACGAATTAGGAATTTGTGCGAACGAATTAGGAAATTAAAAAAAAAAATTCCACCCTGTCCCTTCCCGGGCTTCATACTGCTCATACAAATTGACTTTGATGACATGAAATCGCTATCTGGGGGCTTGTTTAAGTCAATACAAAGGAAAATTAGTGAATCTTATATGGTAATCTTTCCACAAAGTCTTCAAAAGAGATTTGCAGGAGAATATGTGGCCAACATATTTTACATGACACCGCATGTTTCCACCTTCGCAGTGACTAAGTTGGCCACACATTTGCCTACAAATCTCTCTTAAAGACTTTGTCAACATATTCCTTACAGTTCTCACATGAATAAAACTTAAAAGTAAGCAAAAAATGTGTGTGTTTTCTGTTTCGAAAGTGGCATTAAGACTGCAACATTTTTTTTCCGCTTAATGTGGGCTCCAGCCCTATTTTTAGGGCCTATACTGCTGTCTGACTGTAGCCAGTGTAGGCCTACATGTACATGTAGGCCTACATTCCAAATTCGTGGACGCGATCAAGTGAAAACAATCTCATTCTCATCACCTCATTTCCGAAAATGTTTAATTTACGGATCTAATTTTCGGGGAGGATAGCCCATTTAGCAAAAAACAGTGAATATTTCATACCTCAGACGTCTGATTTTCTTGTAATTTGGGGGACAATTTAGAAAATGTATCAACAGCATGCTCTATCATCGACCATGGCAGCCATATTATAACGACGGCTGTTTCATGTTGCTTGTTTTTTCCTAGGGATGATAATACATGTAACTGCACAATAATCACAATGATCACAGGCAACAGCCGTTGATGTTTCAAGAAGCACAGCAAAATAAAGGAGTCTATTAAACCTCAATATTATACCGACAGTCCGACAGTCGTACAAACAGCAGGCCTACACGTAACGAAAGGCCTATATTTTGAGCGACACCTGGGGCTACGTATATGCTAGGCCGGGCCATTCACTTCTCCAATTTGTATCATGTTTATGTTGTTCATCGGATAGGCCTAGCCTATTTTGGTTCGAAAATATCTGACAGATTCTCTGAGTTTTAAAAAACATTTCCAAATCACCTCCTCTGCTTTTTTTTTTTATCGAGACAGCTAGTCGATAAACATCAAACATAGCCTGAGTGTGCCGGGATGGATCCCGGCTCGAGAGGGTTCTACAAATTTTGCAAGTTGTCTAGTAGGGCCTAGTAGGCCTAGGCTTATTATACTAGCAATGGAAATGCTAGTCCTACATGCAGTGTAATCTTGTTAGTTGTAGGCCTAATGTTTAAAACTATATTCATATGTTTTCGCATTGCAACTTAACTGTTAATATGATAGACATAGATTATATACATTTTGAGGTACATACCTTATTTGTCGTTTCACTCGAGTCGCGTCAAAATTGAAACTTAAATGAAACTGAAAGTCGAACAAAAGCAAAATTAACTGCTCCGTGCATGCGTGACGGACGTTATGTAGTCTCCCGTCGCGTCTAGTCTAGATATAATCACGAGCACTCCGGTTTTCTTCGACCAATTAGGTTATGCGGCGCGCGTGAACATGGGCGCTCTTGCACTCTGGAACTTTTCTTCGACCAATAAGGTTTCACGGCGCGCGTGCACATTTAGCGCGCGACACTCCTTGGAACAAATCCCACTTTTTTGCCGCCAATATTGTTTTTTTGGGTGGCGACCGCTGTATGTAATACACAAGACTTCTACCGTCGTAAAAACGTGGTTTTTTTTTTTTGGTTGAGGTTTTTTGGGGGAGGCGGGATATGGGATGAGTTTTTGGGTAGGGGATAAAATGGGCGTCTTTCAGACGTCGCTTTTTGGTCACGGCCGCTGTAGTAGAACGACGTTTTATAAAGACGTCGTGTTAGTTGGGTTTTTATGGCAGGTGGGGATGTGTTTTCGGGGTATGAGACTAATAACGACCGTAAAACGTGTTTTTTTCAGTGTTTTTGGCAGGAGGGAATTTTTTTTCGGGTCGAGAAAAAGACGTCTTTCAGACGTCGTTTCTTGGTCACGGCCACCGTAGTAGATGAGATTAAATAACGACCGTAAAACGACGTCTTAAAGACGTCGTGTTTTTCTCAGTGTTTTGGTAGGAGGAAATGTTTTTTTCCGGTCGAGAAAAAGACGTCTTTAAGACGTCGTTTCTTGGTCACGGCCACTGTCGTAGATGAGACTAAATGACCAGCGTTAAGCGACGTCTTAAAGACGTCGTGTTTTTCTCAGTATTTTGGTAGGAGGAAATGGGTTTTTTTCGGGTCGAGAAAAAGACGTCTTCAAGACGTCGTTTCTTGGTCACGGCCACCGTAGTAGATGAGACTAAATAACGACCGTAAAACGACGTCTTAAAGACGTCGTGTTTTTCTCAGTGTTTTGGTAGGCGGAAATGGTTTTTTTCGGGTCGAGAAAAAGTCGTCTTTAAGTCGTCGTTTCTTGGTCACGGCCACTGTAATAGATGAGACTAAATAACGACCGTAGAACGACGTCTTAAAGACGTCGTGTTTTTCTCAGTGTTTTGGTAGGAGGAAATGTTTTTTTTTTCGGGTCGAGAAAAAGACGTCTTCAAGACGTCGTTTCTTGGTAACGGCCACTGTAGTAGATGAGACTAAATAACGACCGTAAAACGACGTCTTAAAGACGTCATGTTTTTCTCAGTGTTTTGGCAGGAGGGAATGTTTTTTCGGGTCGAGAAAAAGACGTCTTTAAGACGTCGTTTATTGGTCAAGGCCACTGTAGTATAAATGACACCAAATAACGACCGTTAAACGACGTCTTAAAGACGTCGTGTGATTTTTTTGTCATTCGGCGGGTGGGGAGATTTGCTCGGATGGGTAAAAAGACGTCTTTAAGACGTCGTTTTTTGGTCACGACCGCTTTAGTACACACGACCAGAAAACGACCAGAAAACGACGTCAATAAGACGTCGTGTGCCCACTGGGTATGTTGACTGTCACTATCAGCAACAAACTTTGGTGACTCAAGTAGACAAGATGTCAATTCTTCGCTGTAGTGCTCCTTCACAAATTCTGTTGCATGTTCCACTTGAATCTTCGCAGGGTACAATCTCCCGGCACTGTAACATGCTTGTAACATCTGGTGTCGAACGCTGAGAGTTTTAGTAACATTGATGAAATTCTGAGCTGCCGAAACAATGTACTTGAAATATTTGTGTTTGCTCTCAAATCGCATTGTCCAGACCCATATTAGGGGTCCAAAGTGGCGGATGAGTTCAGCATAATGCCGAAGGAAGTGATGCTTTGGCCGCAACGTATAGTCTGGGAAAAGTCTGTTCAGATCCAGTAGGTAATTCTCTGTAATTAGCTCCAGGTATGCAACCTGTCCACTTGACAATTTTGGGGCAGTTACAATATCAGTGATTTCTCTCAGAGTTATGAGAATTCCCCACACTTCATCTTCACAGTCAACTTTGTCACCAATGAGAATGGGGAGATACCTTACGAAGTTCCAATTCTGAACTGCATGGCCAGAGAGTCTCCTGTTGCCGACATCAACATGTGCTGGTTTGTCAAGTTTGTCATTTCCATGGTAGACACATTCATCGATTCTTTTATTTAACAGTTCGACAGTAAACCAGCCTTTACTCTGAATCATGTACTTCAGAAACAGACACACATCATATGCAAGTACACCTTCAAAAAGATCATGCCCAAGGCATGGGGGGAGCCCTTTACATACATGGAAGAAGTTTAAGACATTAAATGAT